AAAAAAAAAAAAAATTGCTGACACATCTTAAGAGTTCTCTTCAACAAGAAAAAATTTTAGCTGTATATAGTGACAGATGTTGACTAGGTTTATTGTGGTGATATTTTTTGCAATATATACAAATATCGAACCATTCTGAGAGCACCCCCGAGCAGGGGAGGGGCAGAGAGAGAGAGAGAGAGAGAGAGAGAGAGAGAGGGAGGGAGGGAGGGAGAGAGAATCCCAAGCAGGTTCTGTGCTGTCAGGGCAGAGCCTGATGTGGGGCTCGATCTCATGAACTGTGAGATCATGACCTGACATCAAGTGTCAGACATTTAACCACCTGAGCCATGCAGGTGCCCCAAATTCCCACTTTCTGTACAAAATTTGAAATAATGTGGTTCTCCCAATTTTTCCCTTGTACACCTAAAAGTTATATAAGGTGTTATATGTCTGTTATACCTCAATAAAATAAGTGAAAGCACATTCTATCTCAAAAAAAAACAAAACCCCAGAAAGAAAAATCAAGTGAATCTATCTGTTATTTTCTGAAAATTGCTTAAAAAACATTTTTTTTTTTAGGGGCGCCTGGGTGGCTCAGTCGGTGAAGCATCCAACTTCAGCTCAGGTCATGATCTGACGGTCTGTGAGTTCCAGCCCCACGTTGGGCTCTGAGCTGGCAGCACAGAGCCCTACATGGGGCTTGGACTCCAGAACTGAGAGATCATGACCTGAGCCAAAGTTGGACACTTAACTGACTGAGCCACCCCATCACCCTAAAACTTACTTTTCATGTGACATTACTTCTTTTCCAGTTTTATCTTTCTTTCTAACACATTGGAAAACCTTGTATTACTTTTTTTTTTTTTTAAGTTTATTTATTTTTGAGAGGGGGAGAGAGCACGAGCCGTGGAGGGGCAGAGAGAGAGGGAGACACAGAATCCGAAGCAACTCCAGGCTCCGAGCTGTTAGCACAGACCCCGACACGGGGCTGGAACTCACGAACCGTGAGATCACCACCTGAGCCAAAGTCAGACGCTCAACCGACTGAGCCACCCAGATGCCCCGGAAAACCTTATGTTATTTTTGAGTGAAATTTTGAAATTTGGGGCACCTGGCTGGCTTAGAGGAGCATGTGGCTCTTGATCTTGAGGTGGTGAGTTCGAGCCCCCGATGCAGTATAGAGATTACTTAAATAAATGAAACTTTAAAAATTTTTTGAAATGTTAGGTCATGAGTTCTGATATTCTCTGCCTATTAGAGGCACGTACAAGATTTTTTTCACTTTATTTTTTAAGTTTATTTTGAGACAGAGCGAGAGGACATGTGTGCATACGCAGGGGAGGGGCAGAGAGAGAGGGAGAAAGAGAGAATCCCAAGCAGGCTCCTCACTGGCAGTGTGGAGCCCACCGCGGGGCTCGAACCCACTAACTGCGAGATCATGACCTGAACTGAAGTCAGACACTTAACCAACTGAGCCACCCAGGCGCCCCAAGACTTTTTCACCTTAAATGGTGGGAAAGTTCAGGGAAGGCATGGAAATATAAAGTGACTTGGGCAAGTAGAAACAGAATCTAGTTTCAATGATTTTAAAAAAAAATTTGTTAATGTTTATTTTTGAGAGAGAGAGAGAGAGAGACAGTGCAAGCAGGGGAAGAACAGAGAGAGAGGGGGACACAGAATCCCAAGCAGGCTCCAGGCTCTGAGCTGTCAGCACAGAGCCCGACGTGGGGCTCGAATTCATGAACCGTGAGATCCTGACCTGAGCCAAAGCTGGGCACTTAGCCGACTGAGCCACCCAGGCGCCCCAGTTTTTTTTTTTTTTTTTTTTTTTTTTTTTTTTTTTTTTTTTTAATTTTTTTTTTTTTTCAACGTTTATTTATTTTTGGGACAGAGAGAGACAGAGCATGAACGGGGGAGGGGCAGAGAGAGAGGGAGACACAGAATCGGAAACAGGCTCCAGGCTCTGAGCCATCAGCCCAGAGCCCGACGCGGGGCTCGAACTCACGGACCGCGAGATCGTGACCTGGCTGAAGTCGGACGCTTAACCAACTGCGCCACCCAGGCGCCCCGGCGCCCCAGTTTTAATGATTTCTGTAGTTAGCAATGAAACACAAGGAGAACTTTTAATGGAACTGGTAGTATTTCATCTATGTATTGAAAGACCACATTGCTGATATGTCTTTAATATTTCCCTCCTTTGTAAGAACAGAATTAAAATGAGATGGACCCGTGTGTTCCATCCTGGTAGTTTTTGGTCTTTGGTAATTAATTCCTTTAGGCCATTTTGGTACAAAACTGTGACTTTACATGTTTGCGTAAATTGAGGTTCTTGTTTCTAATTATTGTCCATCAGCATCATACGTTAGTCACTTTTTCATTGTTTTCTTATAATTCTGTAGCTTAAGAGTGTCGTTGAAATATTTCTCATTAACTTATCCCGCTACCTTTCTATAACATTGCTTAATGGTTTAGTTCTTTATCTTTACTTCATCAAAGTTAATTCACAGTTGAAATGAAGTCTTTATTTTCAACAAAAGTTTGTAGTTTTTCTTTTCTCTGAGGAAGTCAAGGTACAGTACATATTATTGCTACAATATACTTCTTAAAATACCGTAAAAAAATGATACAATGCCAGGAAGAAAATGTGCGATATACAGATGGTGAAATGGGGAGATGTGTTTGAGGTTTGATAAGAAGACTGAAGGTTCTAAGTTAATCTGTAAATTCAAATCAGTCTCGATAAAACTATCAGTAGAACTGGGGCGCCCAGGTGGCTCAGTCGGTTGAGCGGCCGACTTTGGCTCCGCTCATGATCTCATAGGTCGTGAGTTCGAGCCCCACGTCGGGTTCTGTGCTGGCAGCTCAGCCCGGAGCCTGCTTCGGATTCTGTGTCTCCCTCTCTCCCTGCCCCTAACCCACTCGCATTCTGTCTCTGTCTCTCTCAAAAATAAATAAACATTAAAACAAACAAAATCATTGGGACTTTTTTTTTTTTTTTTAACTAGATGAACTAATTCTCAAATTCAGATTTAAGAGAGGTGAAATCAAGCAAAAAGATCTAGGAAAAATCTGAAGCAGCAAAGTAACTATGCTTACCAGATATTGAAGTCGATTACAAAGTGATCATCATTAACAAAGTATAGTAATGGCACGTAAATAGATGGATTAAGAAAAGAGAATCCAGATAGTGTCACAGATGTCTCTGGGAATTTAATGCATAATAGCGGTGGTTGCCTCTCAAATACATGGAGGGAGGAAGAGGCTAAATTATTTACTTCATGGATATTGAGACCACTCTAGCAACCTAGAGAGAAAAGAAGCCGGTTTCATAATTTTTATTTTATTTTATTTTTTGAGAGAGAGCAGGGGCGGGGGCGGGGCAGAGAGAGAGGGAGACACAGAATCCGAAGCAGGCTCAGGGCCCTGAGGTGTCAGCACAGAGCTGGACGCGGAGCTCGAACCCATGAAGCGCGGGATCATCCCCGGGGCTGAAGTCGGATGCTCAACCGACTGAGCCACCCAGGCGTCCCTAGATGATTGAAATATTTTTAAAATGAGGGGCGCCTGGCTGGCTCAGTCAGTAGAGCATGCGACTCTGGATCTTGGAGTTGTAAGTTCAAGCCCCAGCTTGGGTGTAAACATGACTAAAAAATTAAAAAATCTTAAAAAATGAAACAGTAAAACTGCTAGAGAAATTTATGGGAGAGTTTTGCTTAATCTTGAGTGGGAAAGGTCTTTCTAAGAGTCCACAAAGCTAGGCATCATAAAGGAAAATATCAACAAATTTAGCTGCATAAAAATATTTCAGGGCCACCTTGGTGGCTCAGTTGGTTAGGCGCCTGACTTTGGCTCAGGTCATGATTTCATGTTTCCGTGAGTTCGAGTCCCGCGTCAGGCTCCGTGCCGACAGCTCAGATCCCGGAGCCTGCTTTGGATTCTGTGTCTCCCTCTCTCTCTGCCCCTCTCCCACTCATGTGTGCGCACACTCTCTCTCTCTCTCCTTCTCTCAAAAATAAACATTAAAAATAATAATAACATTTTGCATTACCCTCTCCAAAAGCAACATGAAATCAAAAGACCATGACAAATATTTATAATTCTTATCACAAAGCCCAGTTTCCTAATATGTAAATAACTCCTGTGAGTCCATAAGAAAAAGTCCAAAAATCCATGATAAAAATGATTATAAACAGTACATAGGAAAGAAGAAAAAATGGATCTTGTAAACACATGAAAAGAGGTCAGTCTTACTCATAGTAAGAAATGGAAAAATCAGAGTATGCTAGGATACTGGTTTTTAGTTCGTAAAGCTTTAATATGTTATGTTGGCAGGGGTATGGTGAGTGGTCACGCTTGCTGGTGAGAGTAAATTTAGATAACCTCTGTGGAGGGCAATTTGATAATATCTCTCAGATTTACAAATGTCCATACCCTTTGACCTAGTAATTCTACAACGTTAGGTTACAGAAAAGTCTGTACCTGGGTGTTACTAATTACAGTATTGCTTCCAGTAGCAAAAGATTGGCAAAACGTGAATGTCCAATAATAGGGGAATGATTCATTCAAATGTGGTATCTCAATATAGTAAACAACTTGGAAACCACTTAATGTAAACCAAAATAAAATCAGAGATCATTCCTTGTGTGCTGACTTGGAACAGATTGCTGAGATACATTAAGAAAAGAAGGCAGAGGGGCGCCTGGGTGGCTCAGTCGGTTGAGTGCCCGACTTCGGCCCAGGTCACGATCTCACGGTTTGTGGGTTCGAGCCCCGCGTGGGGCTCGGTGCTGACTGCTCGGAGCCGGGAGCCCGCTTCGGATTCTGGGTCTCCCTCTCTCTCTGCCCCTCCCCCGCTCATGTTCTGTCTCTCTCTGTCAAAAATAAATAAACATTAAAAAAATTTTTTTAAAAACTTACGAGATTAAGCTTACCAAGTGTTGGTGAGGCTCTGGGGAAACTTGGAATCCTCTGTGCTATTGATGGGAACATAAAATGGTGCAACCACTTTGGAAAACTGTCTGATAGTTTGAAGACCTCTTTAGAGAATTTTAGGTTCACAACCGAATCAGGAGGAAGGTATAGAGATTTTCCCATATACCCCCGGCCCCCACAGAGATGCAGCCTCCCCCGTCCTCAGTATCTCCCACCAGAGTGGGTTGATGGGTTCACTGCCGGTTTTGTACAGTCTACGGGTTTTGAAAAACGTACACTGACATATCTACCATCAGGATGTCATAGAGTATTTGCTCTGCTCTAAAAATCTCTCGCACTTCAATTAGTCATTCCTCCCCCCACAGTCCCGGCTACTGGCAACTGATCTTTTGATTGTCTCCAGAAGTCTCCATTTTCCAGAGTGTCATATATTGGAATCACACGGCGTGTAGCCTTTTCAGATTGGCTGCTTTCACTTAGTGGTATGCATTTCAGGGCCCTCTGTATCTTTTCTTGGCTTGCCAGTTCATCCTTTTTGTTGGTTTATTTTTTAATTTTTAAATCAAAAAAATTTTTTGAGAGCACGCTGGTGGGAGAGGGGCAAAGGGAGAGGGAGGGAAAGAATCTTAAGAAGGCTCCACGGTCAGCGCGGAGCCCGATGTGGGCCTCGATCTCCCGACTGAGATCGTGACCTGAGCCGAAATCCAGAGTCTGGCGCTTCACCGGCTGAGCCACCCAGGTGCCCCAATCGTTCATCCTTGTGAGCGCTGAATCATATGTCCGAATATCCCACTCGCCTCACTGAAGGACGAAGCGTCTGTGTTGAAGTTTTGGTGCGGACGGAAGTTTCCACTTCATCCGGGTGGATACGAAGGAGTGTGGTTACTCGAGGGTATGGTAAGAGGGTGCGTCGTTTCGCGAGAAACCATCTAACCGTCTTCCAAAGCGGCCGTGCCGTTTCGCGTCCCCACCTGAAGGAAGGAGGGTTTCTGTTCCCCATCCTTGCCGGCATTGGGTGTTGTCTGCGTCCCAGGTCTTGGTCGTTCTAATAGGTGTGTACTAGTGTCTCATTTAATTTGCATTTCCCCGATGACACACGATGTGGAGCATCAAATAGGCTTATTTGTCATCTGTAGGTCTTCTTGGGCGATAGTTGGCTTCTTTTGTTTTTCGTTTCTTGAAAGGTTAAGCAGACACTGACCATCTGACCCAGCCATTCCACTCCTAGGTATTTAGTGAAGAGAAATTAAAGCAAAAATGTATACAAAAACCTATCCGCAGATGTTCGTGTCACCTAAGTTGTAATCGCCCCAAAGTGGAAACAGCCCGACTGTCCACCACTAGGTGAACAGATAAACGAGTTATGACACACTCGTGGAGCAGGATACTGTTCTCCAGTAAAAAGAATGAACCATCGACGCCTGCAACAACATGGATTACTCTTGGGGTAATTAGGCTGAGTGAAGGAAGCCTGACAAAAAGAGTTGGTACCAGATGATTTCATTTATATGAAATTTTAGAAGATAGAAGCTTCAATGACAGAAAGCAACTTGGTGATTGCTTGAGAAGTGCAGTGTAGAAGGAGGGATAGTAAAGTACCACGAGGAGACTTTGGGGAGTGATTGACGTCTGGAAATGTTCGTTATCTTGTCTGTGGTGATGGTTTCGTGGATCTGTATTTTGTGGCATGAAAGCTGTGCTGAAGTCACTTTGGTTCATCCCAGTATTTGAAAATAGCAGTATGACAGGCCTGGGGGGCTCTGTTGGTTGAGCGTCCAACCCTTGATTTCGGCTCAGGTCGTGTTCTCGCGGTCATGGGACTGAGCCCCGTGTTGAACTCTGCGACGACAGCAGGGAGCCTGCTTGGGATTCTGTCTCCCTCTCTCTCTGCCCCTCCCCTGCTCGTGCATGCGTGTGATCCCCCTCTCTCTCTCTCTCTCTCTCTCTCTCTCTCTCAAAATAAATAAACATTAAAAAAAAAAAAAGAAGAGGAAGTAAGGCCCTAAAGATAAGAGTAAATTCAGTGTTTATGCTTCAAGGCAGGAAGTATGATTAAACATTTACACAGTGGTAAGCCTCATCTTTAATTCTGTATTGGTACGCTCACTGGGTCACAAGGAAGATATCTTGTTCTTCTGAATAGAATATTGTAATTGAATTTGGTCCCAGGAGGAGACCTGGGATCCAGATGCCGTGGTGTCAAAGGATAGTGAACCAATCCTCCTCCTTTGTAGGAAAGGACGATCTAGACTTGCTTGTATGTCTTTGAGTCTTGCAAGGTCCTGTTTCTAAAAAGATCTAGATAATTTACTTTGAAGAGAAACAATGACTATTTCTAAGAGCCTGTTTTTGAACAAATTCCTCAAGAGAGGAAAAGAGGGCACGGTGAGGTGGATGGTCTGATGTCGTCAAGTTTCCCTGTAGGATGGTTATCAGTTTATATGGTTTTTGTAATTTATTCTAGATGTTCTTCTGCATTTTTTGAGGAAGAGAGATCAGCATTAAAACAGAAACGGCAGAAAATAAGACTCTTACAACAAAGGAAAGTTGCAGACGTTTCCCAGTTCAAAGATCTCCCAGACGAAATCCCTTTGCCCCTGGTTATCGGAACCAAAGTTACAGGTGAGTGAGCACAAGTTCATTACTGGTTTGATTTGTAAGGTTTCACCGTGCTGACTGCTGGCCGCTAGACACGTGGCTTTTAAATTGAGAAGCTTACGCTGTAGCTCTGTAGTAACATGCGGTACAAGGTACTGTTTGTTCGTCTATGACATCCCGTTTTATTTATTTTTTATTTTTTTTTAATAGTTTTTTTTATTTACTTTTTTTTTGAGACAGAGAGAGACAGAGCATGAGCAGGGGAGGGGCAGAGAGAGGGAGACACAGAATCCAAAGCAGGCTCCAGGCTCTGAGCTGTCAGCACAGAGCCCGACGCGGGGCTCGAGCTCACGGACCGTGAGATCATGACCTGAGCTGAAGTCGGACGCTCAACTGACTGAGCCACCCAGGCACCCCTATGACATCCCGTTTTAAACTACTTGGGGAAAAGCGTACCGGTTCGAAGCAACGTCTACTACGACGTAAGGCGGAGCAAACTGACACAAAGACGAAATCGACAGTTCACTGGGGTCCCTGCAGCTGTACATTGTTTACATTTTGAATTTTTACATTATTCCGTCTTTGGCTTTCACATCATTTACTTGCCTTTCTAACCACTCTTCAGTGGTTAGCTCACAAACACATTGTTCTTACGCTCTTTGGCTTTGGGGATAGTCCATTTCTAAGGACTGAATAAACGAAATTATTCAGTAGGTAGTTGGTTCAAAGTTTTATTTAAGGATCTAAATTCTGTCAGTTGGTGGATATGATTCTGTGTATTCTTTTTGGTTACAACGTGGAAGGAAAGTAGCACTGAAGCCTCAAGTTTAAGGTAATTCTTCATAATGTGGTAAACTAAAATCATAACTTATGTAATATAAAAAATAACAAGGTGTTGAGTGGGTAGACAGATTAGTAACTGTACTGAAAGGGTTTTAAAAATGGTTGGATTTATCAAGGAACGTTTTCTGGAGGAAAGGTAACCTCGAGTTACGTTAATATCACTTTTTCTAGTCGTAGAAGTGGTACGGATTTCCATGACGCTGTAGAGAGGAGTAATTCCGAGGAAAGGTGGATAATAGAGAAGAGCCTATGTGGTGCATATGAGATGCATACAAGGAGGTGAACGGATTTGGTCACGGCTTGCCACAACAACTTACCACATACAAAACTTACCAATGACCTCTCTCCTGACAAAATTGGTCTGGGGGTGAGGCTGGCAATGAAGTGAGGGATCTCGAAAAGTCTTGAAAAGATGCATTAGTTCTAGGGGCGCTTGGGTGGCTCAGGCAATTGAGCGTCCGACTTTGGCTCAGGTCGCGATCTCGTGGTCCGTGAGTTTGAGCCCCGCGTCGGGCTCTGTGCTGACAGTTCAGGGCCTGGGACCGGCT